TATGCATGGTTATCTTCACTATTCTCTTTTCCCTGCTTCTTACCTTATCTATATCATGGGCCAATGCTTACTCTAAGTAATACACAGAAGACTATGACAATTAACAGCTTTGAGAAGGGTGGGAGTGGCACAGGGCAGAATGTGGTGGCAAGTACCACTCGGACAACAACACACCGACAACACACTGATTGTTGCACACTCCACTCCATGGTACAGTCATGGAAAAAATGTGCTTTAAATCAATCAATATATATTACAAGGATAGAAGAGTAAAAGCTAATGTGGTGGACGAATGTGACACCTCTAGGGGATGTGCTAATGATATAGTTGTTGCAGTATCTAAAAGTGACTGGGGTGAAACCAAAGTTACATGGTCTGATGCATGATCATGATTATTGACGATAATCCAGTAATCCATATGAACAAATAAGTCTTTCAAGTTGATAAAGCCTTCATGCTATGTAAAAGTCAATAAAGTAAATTGCAACAATAAGAAACAAATAAAATCTTTGCTATTAGTCAAAAATATGCATCGTTGTAATTACAAACGTGGAAAATGAAATGGCAAATTACATTTTTCGTTATATGGAAAAATACCAAATTACATAACAAAATGAAATGAAATAACTCAAATAAGTGGCTTTTAAATTTTTTTGCAAATTCAACGCAAATATTCTTATTATCATTAAACAAAGATAAAGTTGGTTGCATTAAAAATTAATCAAAGTACTTTGGTATAAATAATGAAATTATGTTGTTATTTAATAATTTTTAGAACGCAAATAATTTTACTAAAAGAAGCTAGCTAGTAAAGAGCTAGAAGAGAGCCAAAAGCATAAACCAAAAAAATAAATAAATAAATAAATAAATTGGAGCTAGTCTCGTCTAATTTTAGAACTCCAAAAATAAACAAAAAGCTGAAAGAGTCCTAACCTCTGATGTTTTCCTCCGTTAATATTACTGGTAGAAGACACCCACTTGTTTTTCCTACTTATATTTAATTATTGTTTTTCTATCAGGTAACACATATAGTCTAAATCTTACTACTAATTAACTACTTGAACCCTCAATCCTTTAGGGAAATGGAGGAACACATTTTCAAGCACCCTGATACCGCTAGGCTAAATGCCTTTTGGTTTTATATTTGATTAGATGTCTTGTGGTTGATTGATTTTGATTATATTGATTCTTGGTGTTCTAATTATATGCTGAAACAATGTTTTCAGTTTATTTTGAAAAACCTTGTTTGAAGAGAAAAACCAAGTGACTCTAGCCTTTGCCAATCCAGGAGATTAAACGGATAAGTTAATAAAATAAATAAATAAAAACAAATTTGAGATGAGAAAACACTAATAGGCGCATCAAAAAAGATAAACATGAACTTCAAATGAATACCACAAAACTAAATGAATACCACAAAACTATTTCATGCGAGATGATGATACCACAACAAGAAATATGAGCTATTGCGGCGACTTCTATAGCGGTGACACCTAGTTGAACGCACTTGATGGCGCCGCTCTTGATGGTGTCACCGCTATATTTTATATTTTGATTCATATGCTTTGTCTCAAACTAATCCAAGTTGTTGAAAAGTTAGATCGATCTAGCAACTAGGCTTCGTTCTCGTTTGATCAATTGTAGCGGTTGCAATAGTGGCGACTAGTTGTTGCCACTAATATTCGCAAAAAAAAAAAAAAAAAAAAAAACCGCGATGTTTGCCTTCAAGTTATTTGGTGTCGCCGCTAAAATAAGTTGTTGCTATTGTTATAACTAAAATGTTGATGCTAATGAGCTAGTCACCACTAAAGAGGTCACTGAAAATGATCTAAAGAGAATAACCCCTTCTCTCATCTTTTTTTCTTGATTATGAGTTGTGTCTTCTCTTCTTTATACTTGCGACGAAGTCGGCCCAATACCAAAACCGGCGACTTGCGACAAAATCAAGCACACCGACAACCACCTTTCGTTTCTTCCTCTTTGTCGTCGACAAAAAGGTACCGTACGTCACTCTTCCTTTCTGCCAGCGATTTGGTAACTAGTTTTGTAAAATACAAGGGATTGTGACTATATGTATTTTATGTGCCAATTGCATAACATTGTATGTATTATGATTCTTTTCTTTTTCTCTTATGTTACTAATTTTTCTTTACTGATTTGTGATAGAAATAAAATATGCCTGATGGTGTTTAGTTTTCCCTATTCTTTTGAAAAATCCATGTGTAAATATTTGAAAAATCCATGTGTAATCTTATGCCTAATTGAATGAATGATGTTTAGTTTGTTATTGTTGTTTTGTAAAATTTCAATAAAATCAATCATCATTCCCTTTTTGGTGATTCTAGTGCCATTGGAAAGATCGATGTGTAGTTTATTTTATTTTTGTATCTCATAAGCCAATTCATGATAATAAAGACTACCGGTGGTTTTGCTATGGTGCTCATAGTGTGCGGACGCAGTGCAAAAAATTCTGAATTTTTTGTTTTTCTATATTGTGCCAATAGGTAAAAAAAAGTCATTACTTAAAAAAAATATGCCACCAGCAACACATACTACGAAATCTTGAGTCTACCCTTTATAAAGATAGGATGTTTGAGGATCCAATAGTCAAAGAACAATATATAAGTGTTAATTTCTTAAAAAATTATATTGTTTAATGCTTAAAGTGAAATATATTGATGTTTTTGTACAAAAGTTAGAAGTATGTTAATCAACTTTCCAAAATACAGAATTGTTTAGTTCATGAAATATAATGAGCTCTAATCTTAGTCTCCTCCAGCAATACAACCTCGGTGGACGAGGTAGTTGTATTTGAAAAGGTCTTACGTGCTCGGAGTGGATAAGTTAATGGTATCGAACGTAAACCTTCTTCAACGACAAATTTTAATGCTTTCTTTGAGGTGCACTCACACTTACATACACCACAACATACATACATACTTAACTAGCAGGTTTGATATTTTTTTTTTGAACGGGCATGTTAGTATTTGTCTGAGATTGAACGACGATATTTGTAGCCCATATTGCCATGATTCCTTGAGCGTATATTGAAATATGTGATATACGTTATTAAATAATTTAATATATAGTTCATAAAAACATATAGCATATATAGGTTATATATTATTAACGATAGCTTATAAGTTATATACTTTATTATTATCTATTTAAAGAATTAATATAGCATATATAGGTTATATATTATTAACGATAGCTTATAAGTTATATACTTTATTATTATCTATTTAAATAATTATAAAGGACAATTTATTTGTGAAGCATGACTAAGTGACACATACAACCTATCAAATCACAACAGCAAAGACAAGGGAACTTGTTTTCAAGTTAAAATGAAGTAAACTTTCTTGCATCTAACAAAGATTTGGTTTAAAAATGTAATTGGACATGACACATATAACCCATCAAATCACAACAGCAAAGACAAGGGAACTTGATTCCAAGTTAAAATGGAGTAGGCTTTCTTGCATCTTACAGATTTGGTTTAAAAATGTAATTGGACAAGAAACAGAACAACTCAAATGATTGTCTCTATGTGAAAAGACGTGGTTAAATATAACAAAAACATTAATTATAGATTTTATCACATCATAAGAATAAAATATATACTATTCACCGAGTTAGATGTATTTGTCAACACTTGTGATAGCATAATGTTATTTTGTTTTATTTATAGTATTTTTCAATGTTATCAAATACTTAGCTGGATGACATCTCATGTTAAAGACAAGAAAATTTGCATGATCAAGATCATTACTTGAAAACTATGTCCTACGGTTTAATCATGATTATCGATAGAAAAAAATAAATTCAATGTAGCCATATAATTCTATGCACGCATCATTTGATGTGAGTCTTAACTATATAAGTATATGCATGCATCATTTTGATGTAAGTATTAAACATTAACTATTTAAGTCGTGTATGCCTAATGCAAGATGAAATATAAGAAGCACAAAATTATACTTTTATAGTTATAGTTATGTTAACGGTCAAACAGTTAAATATATGACACAAACAAAATTAAAATACATGATTCCACATATCAGATTACTTAACGTCATGATATCACTACTAGAAAAAGGAGTTAACACTAGAAATCTTACCGAAGGATTTCCGACAGACTACTTGCGAAAAGCTGACGTAGAGGTTTGTCAAAAACTAAAAAAAATATACAGTTTTTAAATATGCAGAAAATATAGCTGTTTTGATTGTAACTGTTTCTTTGGTAATCCGTCGGCCTTTTTCGGTAGATTGTTTCCATCAGAAATATCTGGGGGGATAATCCGACTTTTTGTATAGTAACATTAAGATGTTGTGTTCTTTTACCTTTCTTGTACCATGATATTTATGTTGAGTTTTGATTGTTCATTTCCCTACCGTTAATTTGAGACAAAGGAAAACAACAACACATCCACAAAAATATGATGTCTATTGTTACGAAGAAGCACAACAATATCATAATATGAACAAAGGAAAGAACAAAGAGAAAAAACAATCACACCGCAAACCTCCCAAAATCCCTTTTCTTGGTTGAGCTCTTACAGTTTTGATTTATTACCATTAATAACAAATTCAAGACACGTCAACATATGTCAATGGCTACTTACATGTTTTTTCTAGTATATTGCTCATATTCAAGTTTATGATCCAAATTAACACAAAAAGTACATTTTTACAAAATATTCTTCCATAAATGAAATAATTTAAACTCTACACTTCATCACATGAAATCGTGATTTTAACTTACCTTCTTTACTTATTATGTTTAGTTAAGATTCCATTCAAATACTAAAAACAAATATTCACAAAACAGTTACATTGTTATTGTAATCTCAACCTAACACATACATACCCTAAACGCCTAAAGAATTTAACCATATACTACAAGACAAAACCACAATCATTATATATACAATTATAGTAACACAGATTATTTCACACCAAATACAATCAACATATCAAAAAGAGAAAAAGATAAAATGAAGCTATGCATAGTTATCTTCCCCATTCTCTTTTCCCTACTTGTTACCTTAAACATTTCGTGGGCTAATGCTGACCCTAGTAATACAGGGGCGACTATGACAATTAACAGCTTTGAGAAGGGTGGGAGTGGCGGAGGGCCATCTGAATGTGATGGCAAGTACCACTCAGATAGCACACCAATTGTTGCACTATCCACTCCATGGTACAATCATGGAAAAAGGTGCTTTAAATCTATCAATATATATTACAAAGATAGAAGTGTACAAGCTACAGTGGTGGACGAGTGTGACACCTCTAGGGGTTGTGCTAATGATATAGTCGACGCATCTGTAGCAGTTTGGAATGCTCTTGCAGTGTCTAAAAGTGAATGGGGTGAAACCAAAGTTACATGGTCTGATGCGTGATCATGATTGATGATAATCTAGTAATCCATGAACAAAAGAGTCTTTCAAGTTAATTAATAAAGACGTTCATGCTGCTTTAATTTTATGTAAAAGTCAATAAAGTAAATTGCAATATGAAACAATAAGAAACAAATAAAATATTTGCTATTAGCCAAAAACATGCATCATTGTAATGGCAAACGTGGATAATGAAATGGCAAATTACATTTCTTTATATGGGAAAAATACCAAATTACATATAATAATATGAAATAATTAACTCAAATAAGTAATAACTTATGAAACATTTTGCAACTTTCATGCATATATTAATTCTTATTATCAGTAAACAAATATAAAGTTGGTTGCATTAAAGAATAATCAAAGTATATTGTTATAGCAAATTAATGATGAAATATATTGTTATTTATTACTTTGTTTAAAATGCCAAACAGTTTTACTAAAAAGAAACCAAATATGTAGCCAGAAGAGAGTCAAAAGGGCAAAAACAAAACTAGTTACAATAAGCTGGAACTGAATTACAATACCAATCGGCACATTTAATACTCGAAAATCTTGACATAAATTTAAACCAATAGAAAAAACTCGGTCGGGCCAACTCTCATCACTCCAAGAAATACCACCATCAGCGGTGACACCACCATTAACGTTGACATCTGAAATCCATGTTTTGATGTCGCTGCTATTGTCGGCATCGCCGCTAACGGTGGTAAACCACGATCTGTGTGATGGTTCAGGGAAACATCTTATCCGGTGATCTTTATCCCAATCCAACATATGGTTTTCAATTGTCGTACAAATGCATTTGCATCAACAACAATAGCAATGATTACGTCGCAGCTAAAACCCTAAAAAATTGACCGTAAAAATATTCCCTCCATTTACCACAACTTGACACCGCTAATTTCGTTTGTCAGCACTAAAACCCATGGTCGCTAATTCTTGTCGTCTACATCGGAACTTTTCCTCTCATATGCAGATTACACGACTTGTGTGAACCTATTTCATCTCTCCTACGATTTCGACCGATGAACCCCCTATTTGAACATAAAACCTCGTCGATTACATCACCAAATCACAAGGAATCACCAGCGACAATATCACGTTTAGCGAGGACAATTTGTGCTTATCCTCCCTCCTTTCTCTTTCTTTTTCTCTTCTACCCAACATTCTAAGTCAAACTAATTGCACAGTTTTCATGAATTTAGGGCACTACTGTGACAACCCGAAATCTCTATCTTGTAAGTCAATCTAAACAATCAAAAGTCAGACTTGTTTCTGTTACCTTTTTAATGTGTTAAGGGTCTGTTTGAGAGTTTCTAAGCCTAGTACACTCAAGGGATAAGTTTTAGGAAGTGTTAGCTTGAGATCAGTGAGTTGCAATCGAGCCAGGAACACCTTCAAAAGTGGTTCACGACCGTGAACCCATCCTAGGGCCGTGAACTCATGCTATATACATGAGTTTTGGCTCATTTTCTCTTCATTTCTCATCCTTCCAGCCGTGAACTTGAGTTCTCTCTCAAGTATCATCCACAAAAGAGCCTTCTATCACCTCAAAAACGTAAGTAACTCACCTCTCTTCTTGTTGTTACTTGAAAACCCTTTACCTTCCATCTTAATTCATCATCTTTCCATCTTAAAATTCAAGATCTTCAAGTGGGCCGTGAACCCTTCATATAGGGTTGTGATCATGCAAGTGGGCCGTGAACACTTCATGTGTTCTTGCGCCTTGATCAGACCTTAGGGTCGTGAACCTTCATTCAACCTCCTAACTTGTTTCCAACCCTCCTTTGGTGAGTTTTTCTTGCATCCTAGGTTGATTCCCTATCACCTTTGTGGTTATAATCACTAATATCATGCCTATATGTATCATTATATGCTATTTAGGACTCATTTATACCCCGAAACTTCACTCGTAGGAGTAACACTCTTATCCCAGTCTTCAAATCATTCACATAAGGTGAGTTCATACCCCTACAAATACACTTTTAAATGCTTTTAAATGCTCTTGGGGGGGGGGGGATACAAGTAAAACACAATACTAATGTGTTAACCATTTACGTGTGTAAACAGTAAACAAAAGGATTTCTTATACTAAAAAACTTGTTAAAACTCTTTTAAACTATTTTAGACTTCTTTTATATCAAAATCATATTCGTCTATTTATTTACGTATAAGTATGATTTAACGGACTTAGAACTACTGCTAAATACCTTAACTCCTGTTCCTTGTTTGGCTGTGGGCTTAGGGTAGGATCACTAGTTCGACTGTCGGCTAAATCACAGTTGTGCTCATTAAATACATATATGAATATTAAACCCATTTTTAAGGATTATACTTAACTTAGTTGGTTATGGTGAGTAATTGAGTCTTTTCCACAAATCAGAAACAGTCAAACAATCATACTAGTAAACTATAATAGGTATAGTTTAGAGGATTACTACTTACTATTTCTAGATCAGTGAAACATACATGAGTCAGTTCATACATACTATAACAAGAACAGAAAAGAACATACATACTATAACAAGAACAGAACAAGTACAATGTGAAACACTATTTCATGGCACATCAATATACTTGTTGTGTCACGTTTTGTAACCAGAGTCTCCTGGGAGGAGAGCGTGAGTTTGTGTGTAGATCTATATGGGACTGACAATCCTACATCCCAACTGTTAGCTACAGTTCGGCAGGCAAGACAAGGGGTGACAAATGTCACATTGGTTTCGACGCCAGAAGGTCGTCGTGTTTATACTAGTCAATTAGCATGGTTATAACCTCATCACATTTTTAGCTTAATTAACAAATTGGTTTTAAGGTAGTTAGTACTTTAGTATTTATTTTTATACAACACTACTGTACATCTTCATTTTTGCATTACATTCATACAGTGATATTCTCATATCGAGAAATGCAAACTATTTTCTAGTAAAGATAGTCATAAACTTGGGAAAACATACATTTTTACGAGAGAACAAACAAACAAAACAAAATGGTTTTAAGGGATTTAAAACTACTTCACATAATGGTTTTATGGGATTAAAACTACTTTTCACAAACAAAACGGAAAACGTTCTTCTTATAATTTTATGGATAGTTAAATTATGTTAAACTTTATTATAAATACAACAATACTTAAATAGAACGGTTTTATGGGATTAAAACTACTTTCCAGTTGTAAAGCAGGAAATATAGGATTTTATTGAACTTAATCAATCACTTTCTTAAAAATAAAGCAACAATAACTAATACTTATGAACTTACCAGCTTATATGCTGATCTACTCTTTCAAAATAACTTGTATTCTCAGGAATCCAGTAGACAGGTACACTCTCGAAGCTTTTGAGAAGATAGCCTAGTACCGTGCTGCGTCTTTTGTCTTGTACTATATCTAATTTTGATGTTTGAATATGTAATGTTTAAACACTTATGTAAAACTTATACATTATTAATGCAATGGTTGTTTGTACTTTGATTACTATAATGCATGTGTTGTGATACTTGACATGACGTCCTCCGCCTCCGAACGTTTCCGCCGTTCCAGTTTGGGAGTGTAATAGATTGGTATTAGAGCATTGTTTATAGTGAACTCAGTATATCAGTCATAAAAGATATACAACTATAAACACATCGGGATAAAAACACTCTGACCAAGAGTTATACTTTAAAATATAGCAATATTTTATAAAAGTATAAGTACATGCAGAATATATATATATACTAGAACGAGTATCACAAGAAGAACAAAACAAAAGTATTTGGATGTTGGACATTGCAGTTAAACCTGGACAGTTATGTAATCATATCTGGGATCAATATAGCCTGATCAACTATATTTATTTGAGATATGACCAACATGTATTTGGGAGTGATTGTAGTGTTGCAACAAATCTAAAACTTACCTAGGTACCAGAAGAATTCTAGAACCAATCAGAAAGGTTAAAATACTATAGGAGTATTTTAGGATGCTATAACAACAAAACTGAAAACTTATCAACTTCTTATATCTAGAAGTTCAAGAATCAAACATTTAATTAAAATACTATAGAAGTATTTTAGGTACCATAAATAACTTTAGGGAATTGTTAAAAAGACCTTTTGTGGTAGGTCTATAATTACTAAGTGTCTAGTTTAAGGTTATATATAGTTGAGATTTTATAGACTTAGAATAGGTGATTTTCACTGTACTTCCTATTCCTTGTTTGGTTGTAGTTTTAGATCACTTATTCGAAGGTCTATTTGATCTGGATTATATATAATCTGTACACACTTCGTGATTATAGAAAGACCAGAAAGGATCATCCTAATAAAAATTTAATTTTTATTAATCTCATAGATTCTTTAGACATTCTTATTCTCGTATAAACCACTTAGATAGATGTAGCCACTCCAACAATCAATAGAAGAGTCTACGAAGATCCAATAGAATTTCTTTAGGAGGAGGCCGAGAGAGAAGCAGATAAGGAGTAAAGAAACTATAGAAATCATTTAGTGCCTTTACCTTAATAAAGGGCACCGATGAGAAGTTCGCATGAACTTCCGGGATTCGAACTCTCCATTATGAAGTAATGGGGATCAGTTTTGGAATCGGAAGTAAGACGACATAGAAATTCAATATACCTACGGAGGAGAAGGACCCCATATAGATACCAGGAGAGAACAAATCACTACCGCCCAGAATAGAACGGAGAACAGAGGGAAACCACGCGTGTTACATGCAAAGTGTTTGAGTGCCTTTTCGTCACAGTAATAACTAATAATTAATGCAACCTAGTGAGTTAGTGATTATATTAATCACATTAGGTATTGAGCTTATCGTCTTTTCCTATCACGGCTAATAACAATAAATCGGATCACGAAATCTCAATTGAGAGTGATTATTTCTCAAATTCATAGGTCTATTTTATGTAGACTCTATTATGAATTACTTTAAAATCTTTTTGAAAGTTGGAACATGATATCCACCAACCAAAGATAACTTAGTTTGGATGACACTCGTC